TGTTTAATCAAGTTTTGGTCTTTTGTTCTTTAATGTAGGTAAGTGTCGTACTTTTTGAGGGTTATGATATTTTGGTTCTTAGGTAATTTATGTATTGTTGTATTGAAGTGTTTTCAACTAATGTTAGCAAAAGGGTGGTGCAGCTGTTGCAGTGGTTTCGATACATGAAGTGGAGTATTTGAGGGGCAGGGTTTGTGCAGTGGGTTGCTGTCGGAATTTAGTGCAGTAACTGATGGGTTCAAAACCTGCTGGGAAGTTTCTGCTCGATGAGATGAATTGACCGAATGAAGCTCAGCTGGCTCGAACAGTTTACGTGACTGGTGTTGGAGCTATGGTCCGTTGATAATTGCCTATAGTATCCGGCAGTCAGTTGCTTGAACTGGAGAAGTGTCAGTCATAGGATTAAGATTATGAGAGATGAGAGCAGCAAAGCTTTCTGTGTTCACTTTCTAACTCATGTAGAAGAAATGAATTTTAGTGCTGTTGCGCTTGGTGCATATGACGAGGAAGACGATTTGAAAGGAGTCCCACCTGGTGTAGTAGTTAATGTAAGCACCATTTTTGGTTTTTTTTTTTTCTTTGACTCATTCAGCCATTGCCTGTATGGTGACAAATTTTGGTCGTTTTCAATAGTTGTAACTTATTTTTCGAGTGAGATTCTGGATGAAGCAGTCTTTTACGTTGCCTTTTAGATCGCTCCATTAGGTATTCCTCCACCTCCTTCGGCCCCAGTACCGTTAGCTTCCGGTCAGCTGGCACTCGAAGGATCTGCGGAGCTACAACAAGAACGAAGGTTGAAGGTGAATTGAAGTCACAGAATTGAATTCTGCAAGTTGGAAGTCTTTAGTTTGTTAACAAGTTTTGATTTTTTGCTAATCTAGGCTAGATTGTTTATGGAGAAAATATTAAACGAAAAGCGTGCAGCCAAAATACGTGCACAGAAAGAGGAGCAGATGGAAAAGGAGAGGGAGCTTGCAGCAAAACTTAAAGTGGCTAACGAAAGGAAAGAGCGGGTTGAAAAGCCCAGTAGTGTAGGTTCTTTGTGTACTCACTGCTTTCCTTGCACGTCTCGTTGTACCCCTAGAGTAATCGTTTTTATTTTAGTCAGGTATTGGACAAGCTTTAAAAACATTACCATCTACATCTAAGGAGCCAACAAGTGCAGAAAAAATTGAGCTGAAAAGTCCTCTTGCAACTACAGAAATTGACCGTTTAATAAGCTCAAAAATCGATAAAGCGCTCAACGACTGTCTTAGTAAACGGTACTGGTAGCTTTTTCAATAATGATAATACCTTTTTGCAGTACTTCTTCAGATCAGAAAATTAGGATTCGCAAATTTTTTTCGGCTTTTACCAATTGACTTGTAATTAGAAATTGTTTTTTAGTAGGGAGGAGCGAGATTCGCGATATAAGGATAAAACTAAAAAAGAGAAAACAAAGAAGAAAAGGAGGTCGGAATGTGAGGAAGACGGCGAGATCTTAGAGAACAAGCGGAAAAAGAAGAAGAAGCATCGTAGGGACCGGAGGTTTTTTCTGCATTCTTTCTGATATGTTCTCAGCATATTTGTTTTTTGGAAGAACTACAAACAGTTCATGTATTTTTTGATATTTTTGGAGATTCTTTCAGTTATAATAATCTTTTAGTCAGTCTAACGAATCTAAATCGGAGAGTCGTAGAAGTAAACACAAGAAGCGCCGTCGTTCTTCCAGTGTTGAGGAACGGAGGAAGTAAGATTGATATTATTATTGCTGAATCTTTTCTTGAACAATTTCAAACTCTCACTTATTTAATCAGTTTTGTATTGCTGGTCTCTCTTCTCTCTTCTTGCTTATAGGACTTGTTTTGTACCATTATAACTGATCCTATTTTTAGGAGACACCGGAGTCGTAGTAGTTCACGTAAGAAAGCTCGTTGATTGGTACCAGTAAGTGGACACTCGTCTTTTGGGTGTCATTGGTATTTTTGGGTGTGGCTTGTGTGTATTTGTGTGTCTGTGTCTGTGTGTGTTTTTGTGTCCGTCCGTAGTGTTTATTTCTATCTGTATGTGTTTTTTTGTGAATGTATGTGTGTACGTATGCGAGTTAATTATTGTATTTGTGTATTATAAAGTTTTTTTATTACTGGTATTAGGTTTCAGCTAAAGCTTTTTTCTCGAAATATTTAACTATTTATAATTGCTTAAGATGTTGGCTAACGTTTCTGTTTACTGATCTCTTTTTTGGTATTTCGCAGCTTTGTTTACCTGCAGTTAAAAAAAGTCTATTTAATAATGGTTTGTTCATGTTTTGTACTAATGGGTAAGATTTGTATTTTTCTTCGAAAATTGTAACCTATCTTGCTGGGAATAAAAAGCTTATTTAAACACTTTTTTCCTGCTTTATCTTCTTTCGTTGCATTTTTTTTTTGTGGAGAGCTTTTATGGTATTGATGTGAAATAATTTTTCTCATATGTGTCTGGTTTTTTGTTATTTTAAGGCCAGTGTAGTGAGAGGGGCGTTTTTAAAAATTTTGCTGAGAGTTTTGTACTTCAGATTTTTCATACTAATTTGAAGCTGATTTTTGGGGCAGGTAATTAGCTAGGGTTTTAGCATTGAAGGTCATTTTCTGTTCTTGTTCGTGTTTATAAAGTAAGCAACTGTAGGTTGTAATGGAACTTCAATAAAGACTTCAATAACTTCAATGAAGGTGGTTCCGCAGTCATGCGGGTGTTTCATCTAGTGAGATGGTTGAAAAGCAGAAGAATGTAGGACGAAAAAAGTCTGTTTTGGATACAAAAATTTTTGACAATTTTGTAGAGGAGTAACGAAGCGTTTTTTTTATAGTCTATTAAACGTTAGGATGTAATTGTCGCCACTTGGGATTTTTTTAAAATACTGGTGTTGAGGAACGACAAAGTAGAGGGAGGCTCCTGTAATTTTTTTGCTTTAATATTTTTATTTGGAACGGTATTCTGTTGTTTTTAAAGTTTGTATGATCATTACTTTCCCAGATACTTTTAATCCAACTTTCTCTTCTGATTTGTAAATGTTTGACAGCTTATATAAGAAATCTGCACCGAAACGGGTGTGAACTTTGCTAATAACTGCTGGGAAGTTACCATTCTTTTTTCCATTTAAGTCGCAGAACCCGCCACCGGTGCTGTTTTCCAGATAACGGTCGCTGTCATTTACTTGAATTCATGGTGTTGTCAGAAATGCAGCAATTATGATCTAGTAGCTGGTTGTAAAGACGAAACCCTGAGTTGTTGTTTCAGTGCTTTTTACAGTGCAGGTTACTTTAGGTTATTATTTGCCCTGCTTCGTTGCAGCATCTTTCTTTCACATTTGGGTCTGTCAAATGCAGAAGCAGAACTTTTGAAGTATGTAGCAAAGAACGACTTTTTTCTGCTTGGTCGCTAAATGTGATTAGCGCTGTAGGAAGAGGAGTTATTCTAAACGTTTTTTTTTGATTGGTTCATTTATGCAAAAAGTCACTTCTTTTCAAATTGCTCTGTAAGTGTTGGCTTAAAAAAAAAAGCGAGGAGGCTGTAAAAGATTGAAAAGTGTAAAAAAGTTAACGGCAATACTGAGCCAGGAAAGATTCTAAATTCAACTAAATGACAAATCTCTCTTCTTATTTTTTCATCATCTTATTTCTTTTATCGTATAGATTTGAATCAACAAAAACAATTTTTTTATTTTGGCTTAAAATTTAAAAAAAAAAAAAAGAAGAAAAAAGCAAAAAGAATTTTTATTGCCTATTTTTCTTCTTTTTTTTTGAAGTAGTTTCTATTTATTGATGTTGCTGTTTGTGTTGGATAAAAATAATTTTTGATTACTGGTTTCCGACATTAAAAAAGACGGAAGAAACAAAACTGAACAAAAAGGTTTTATTTATATTTAGACTCGGTAATGTATTTTTTCATCCTCTTTCTTCTTCTTTATTTTTTTCATTTTTAAGCAATTAAAGATTTGATTAGATTAAATAGCAAATTGTTTAATGGAAATTTTAAACTAATTCTGGCGAAAATGAAGAGTATTATTTTCGTTGCTTAGGTGAGGAAACTATTTGGAGCAGTAGTTAGGTTTCAGTAACGGTGTTTTTGCCATTGACCGTATTCAGTGGGGTTCTAGAAGTG